AGCTTTTGAAGTTTTCGTTTTATGTCTGGAGATGCCTGATTCACAAAAGCCATATTGATGGCCATCTGATTCTCTGGGGCCTCAGGATTAATGGGAGTATAAGTTCTGAAGGCCCCTAGGAGGCACTCCAGGTACGCCCCAGGAGACTCATCCCTTTCCTGCATCACCTGACTGACCTTAGACAAATTTGTAGGGCACTTAGTAGCTGCCCCGAGACCACCCCCCCAATAAGAATCTGGCAGTAGACTTTTAGGTGTTCCCTACCTTCTGGAGTGTTATAGTCCCATCCCTCTGTTGGGCGCGTGAGAGGAAAAGCAGCCGCAATCAAGTACTCATTCTCTGTCGGTCGCCCATCGTCTCTAGGGACTGCGTGTCTGCATTCCCAAAGGATGCGGTTCCGTTCCTTGGTGGTAAACAGGATATTTTGTAACTGTTGGCAATCATCCCAAGTGGGTTGGTGGGTAAAAAGAATGATATCCAGGAGGGAAACTAGGGCCTGAGGCTTCTCCGTGAAGGAGGGAGTTTGTAACTTCCAATTATACTGGTCACTAGTAGAAAAGGGAAAGTAGATTTCGGGAGCAATCCCGTCCTCCCTCAGGGGCCCAATCTCTCTCAGAGGAAGAGCGTGTACTGTCCTCCCCTCCTCCCGTGAGCGAGTGTACAATGGGCTGGGCTCGGCTATGGGAGCCGGGACAGAGACAGGGAGGAACTGGAGGCGGAGGAAGACACTCGGGATCTGTGTTCTCCAGGTCTATCCTGAGCACTCTCGGTGGGGCCCCGTAAGGGGGCAGGAGTAAATCCTCCTCTGGCACCAAGGGGAGGACTTCAGGACCTGAAGGATTTTTGGTCTGGGCTTTCTTCAAGGGAAGCAAAGTGGCTGACCCCCCTGGCTTTGTTGGTGAGTGTGGCAGCAAGGGGCATAGCCAGTCAGGAAGGTCAGTGACCAGATATCGCCAACCTAGGATGTAGGGAATTTGATCAGGGTGTCCCAGTTCCCCGAGCACAATTCCTTGGACCCTGTAATTGAGAGTTCAGTTAAAGGACTCCTCTGATGGCCATTTGACCTTGAAGGTAGGCCATTTGATGGTACAGAGGGTCCGAAGGCGGGCTGGCTTGATGCGGAGTCCTGATATGGTCGAGGCTGCCTGTTTGTAGTCCTGAAAATGACTGAGAACCAAATCAAGGGGAGTGAATGATGAGACCTTCTGGCCCATCGTGGGATAGGCTTCAAGGAGAAAGAGTATCAGGAAGGGAATAAGGGTGAAGCGGAGCAGAATAAGGAGTCGATAGGTGAGACAGAACGCTGAACAGAGGGTAAGGAAGGTTTGAGACGGCAGTTCCCTAAAAGGAGAGATGAAAATCTCACAGCGCACGGAGTCAGCTGAAAAGGCTGCCCCTATCTGCAAAAGAAAATGAAGACTATCTAAAATTCCTTTCTGTTGGATATTGTTTTCCTCATTAACATGAGACTGTGACATGCTTTTTGATTCACAAAGCAGTTTAGATTATTTCAAATGGTTAAAAAATGAAATTAATCAATTAACAAGATTTCCATATGAGCGTTTTACTTTGAGGCTTATCAGTGATCTGATATTGATGCATTATCTTTAACATTCTGTAATCTTCCAAGGTCTAGAGCTTATGTGATGCCATTCAAAAGAGAGGATGGAGTGTCAGTTACAGTGAGATAAAACAAGCATATTCATCTTTGTACTTGGCAAGTCTCTATGAAAACCAATGTATTCAGCACTTGTCAGTTCTGATGAGTCTCCAGATGCTGTTGGATGATGTCATGGGAACTGTTACTGAGGGGATGCCATCTATCCTGGCCGTGATGGCATGGTGGCAGGAGGCAGAGCAGCCATCACGGGGTTAAATGCTGTTTTCTGTGTTGTGGTGTCTTTGCTGTAATGGCCACACACAGGTTCTTCTGTGGCCATGTCTACTTGGGGCTGTAGATGCCCTCTGTTTGGATGGCTGTTTCTCAAGATTCGGGGGATTTTCTGCTATTGAGCAAGTTCTCTCTGCCTCCTGCAGCTCCTTTGCTGCTGTAGCTTCTCAGATCTCTTCTCTTGGTCGCATCCCAGGGCTCTTGCACGTTTGAGACTTTGTCCCTCATCTCTTTTGGTCCTGGTTTGATCTCGTCTCTCCGTGACACTTTCCTCAGAGTTCTGTTGGTTCATCGGGTTTTTCATTTTCAGTGTTTCCACCCGAGTTTCTGAGAATGTTTCCTGCTCACTTTTCCTCCACGTTTCTCACCTTTTCACTAGCACTGCCCATTTTCTTGCTACTTCACTGACTTCCCCTGTGTTGGTAACTGTCCTGAGTCTGGAGTGAACTCACCTGTTTGTTTGTGTTCCCTTTGAAGTCACTGGTTATAGGGCACGCGCTCTCTCTGGGCGCACTCCCGGAATGGCACTCCCCGCCGTGCGTCTGGAGGAAGGCAGGTCTGGTCCTGCGGGCTTCTCCGTGTTTCTATGGGCCTCAGGCGTGATGTGCGCGGGTATCTCGGGGTCGCTCTGGGACCCTGGATCTTGGGGTCCCCGCCACACCTGGCGAGTTGCGGCACGGCTCTGGCCACAGGCGTCTCTGGGAGCGGCCGCAGATAGGGCGCTGTCCGCCACTCCGGTGCTGACAGCCTCTCTGCTACTGGAGCATTGTCCAGCCGAAATCCTGTCCCTTTTCCACCCGTGTACTTTTCCTCAGGATGCGAGGTCCACTGGCCACAGAACCCCACGGGAAGAATACAAGGACAGCGAAAGCTAGGATGTCCGCAAGTCGGTCAGGTCACAAGGGAGTGCGCCCCCCAGAGAGGCTAGGTCGCCGGTAGTAAGGCACAGAACTCAAGACTTGGCTTAGTCTGTGTTACAGCTTTATTAAGTGTCTTTGCTCTCAGTAATTCAGCAGCTCTGCGACCCAGCTCTCTGTCTATTAAGAGAAGACTAGGATACTTATACCATGGGGGTAGTGGTAAAAGCTTTGGCTGTTAGATGCTTTGTGAGGCATTCTATTTACATATGGAAGTGGGTTTCTGCCAGACTGCTGTCTGCCTGGAGAAATTACAGGAAGGCATGGTACCTTTCAGAGCCAAAGGCCATGTTTATGTTATGGCATTTGTGGCGGACACTTCAAAAGGAGAGACAGGAAAGATGCCAGGAAGACACCCTGCTATGAAAGGAGCCCTCAGCACATGATCCCGAGCTGCATGAGCTGTCCGGTCGTGAAGGGACTTCTACTTTGCATAACAGAGGTCCCCAACAACTGGTCATGCTGACTCTCATTCATAGACTTGGCCTGGTGCTTTGCCTGGCTGTGTATCTGCTCAGCGTTGAGGTGCTGATCTTCAGGAGTGGCCATGCCTTGCTTTGTCATTGACTTTCTCTGTGTGTCTCCTAGCTTGCAGAGCTCTTCAGGCAATTTAGGGGAGTCTTCTTGAGGGGCCTGTTCTGAAGGCTCAACCCACAGTCCCACTCAGGGAGGAGAAAACAGCACTGAAGCAGCAACACCAAACCTAGAGAAGATAGAGAAATAAAAACAGGATTAAAAACTGCCATTCAGTGAAAATTCTATCAGGAATTCAATAAGAAAATGGTGGATGGGTGGGGTACTATGGCTCAAAAAAAAGAAAGAAAGAAAAGAGAATGAATGAAAGAAGACAAACCCATGAGGCGTTGGAGCAGCTCTTTCTGCATCCTCAGACATTGGAGACATCGGTTATGTGCCTGGAGGGGACAGGGAGGGCCAGCTCAACTGTGAACTGGTCCTGCGTCTCATGCTGTTTCTCAGTCTGTTAGACATGTCTGATGTCCACCAGAGCTTCATTGGCCTCCCTTATGTAGTGGCTGTGCCAGCTATCATCACTTTTGTACCCTGTAGTCCAAGCCAATTCCTCACCCCCACCCCCCCGGATTCCCTCATCTTCCCTGGTGACTAAAATTCTAGCTGGAGTGGTTTCTCCCAAGTGCATTGGAAGTGTGGGAGCCACCACAGTGCTGAGATGAGTAGAGGCATCTTACTTTCAAGACTCCTTGGGCATTAATCTCTCTGTTAGATGCAGCAGTGGGTATCATGTCTACCATGGAACTTCAGAGATCTTGGGCTCTACAGCTTTGAATGAGAGATAGATGGCTTCAAGATTTAATCCACCTGTTGGCCTTGCTCTCAGTGTGATTATTCCTGGCCATGCCCAACAGGGCTGTATTGTATCTCTCAATGCACTTCTAGCCTGAACCTACCCCCTGCCACTAGACCCTTAAGTTTGTTCCTGCCAGGCCCTCTTGCTCTCCCCAGCCACCACTCTGGACCTTCCCTCAGCCAGGGCTATACCAGACTGGACTGAGGCTCTCCAGTCTGTGGATGGTCCCACATCTCAGTCCCCTGGGGCAGCTCCGTTTTTCACAAGGTAGCCCCCAGTCAAGCAGTGTAACAGGATGGGATTTTTCTCTACCCCATGTTGGTACATGACCACCCAAGGAATACTTGCCTCCTGGTGAGGGCTGTGGGCTCATCCTGAGGGCAAGACTTACTGGCCCGCATCTGGAAGCAACTTCTGTCGCCTGCCTCCCATGTGCTGTGTAGCTCAGCCTGCTTGCTGCTTCTCTGGGTGGGGTGGGCTCTTCCAGGGTCCCTTACCCCATGGCTTTCCAAAGTTCTCTCTCTGAACATCCCCCTTACTCTGACAGCCTTCACTAGCTCACATGGGAGCCTCCACCATCTTACCCAGAAGCACACACCTTTGCGTTCTCCATTCCTGTCTGTTTTCTCAGTGCTAGACATCAAACCCAGGGCCTTGTTCATGCTAGGCAAGTGCTCCACTGCTGAGCCCTGTCCTAGCCCTCAGGGTCTCACTCTAACCTAGGCTGGGATTACAGACATGAGCCACCATGTCTGGGTAGAAGATGGATTTGATAAGCCTGTGGTGGGTGCCTATGGAGACTTTGGCTATGGAGTTCAGGGCTGGGCCTCAGAGACAAGCCTGTCTTCCTGACCACCCTCTACAGGCACTGGGCTGTGCAGTAGAACTCTCTGATGTCAGCTGCAGGCGCTTTCTGGACCAACTCATTGGGTTCTTTCATTTCTACAATGGCCCTGTCTCCCTGGCCTACAAGGTAAGAGTGCAGACTGAGGGAGAGCAGCAGTGAGGGAGGGAGAGCAGCAGTGAGGGAGAGAGCAGCAGTGAGGGAGGGAGAGCAGCAGTGAGGGAGGGAGAGCAGAGCAGTGAGGGAGAGAGCAGCAGTGAGGGAGGGAGAGCAGCATTGAGGGAGAGAGCAGCATTGAGGGAGGGAGAGCAGCAGTGAGGGAGGGAGAGCAGCACTGGGGAGGCCCTAGGCCTCAGAGCCAGCAGTGCTGGTCCAGCCATTTGGGTCTGTCTCTACATAACCAAGTAATGTGATGGCCGTCCCTAGCGCTCCTCAGGGATGGCTGTGTCCCTGTGTCTTCCCCTCCCTCCTCTGGGCTGGTCCCATCCTTCCCAGGCAAGTTCCCTAGCTCTGTGACTGGACTGTTCTTGCAAGTATCACTGGAACATGTGTGTGGGCGGAGCTGAGACAGACCTGTCCACCCCTCTGGGTTCCCATGGGATTGCCTTCTCTGGAGCTTGTGTCCCAGATTTCTGGTGCTGACCTGGGCTCCTCTTTTTCAGAGTTATTCTCTGGAGACACTGAGCCTGCAGTGGGACACCTTCATCACACAAGTCCTTAGGCACACCAGTGAGCTGCACCGGGTCTTCAGTGCCCTGTGGAGCCTAGACCGCAGCAAGGTAAAGCTGCACCTCTTGCTGATGGCCTGCATCTGTGTGGGGCCATGGATGTGGGACCGTGGGCCCGCATGTCTAGGATCTGTGCCTCCCACCTCCCTACTGAAGAAAGCAGCAGCTCTGACGGGGCTCCGGGTTCCTCTGGGACTGATCCCTCCCAGGACTCCCTTGTGCCAGATAGGGGGTGGGATTTGCCCACTTCCATGGGGAGCTTTGGGACATTGGCCAGGAGACCTTGCAGAATGCAGATAGGACTGCGTACTGGCAAGTGATCTTCACATGCTATGCCTTGGCACAGCTGGCCGTTGGTGGTCCCCACAGGTGTTGGCCACCGCAACAGGCCGCAGTCTCCTGGCCAGTCTCATGTGCATTTCTTGGTTTGAGCAAGATTCCTTACAAGAATCTTGTACAGGGCCCTGTCAGTTTGATAGGCCATGATGCTTGACTTTTATACTACAGAACTGCACTATGGGATCTGGTCACACACAAGCCTACCAGCTGTGTCTCTGGGGGCTGTGCTGCAGAGGGACGTAGGTGTCACCTGGCACTAGTGTATACATTTGAAGGGCATGCTGTTTGCCCCCGCCACCTGGTTTTAGTGTTGATAGGGTCTCCCTGGTGATACGCTTTGCCCCAGGAGTAGCCTATACCACCCTTACCTTTCAGCTTCTAGAGGTCTCTTATGCCGAGAATCAGGCATATTGTGGCAGCAGTTGTGGGTCTTGCCCAAGTGCCAGCACAGGTCTCTCTGTGGGTGCCACCCCCTTGTTTCAGGCTCTGGGTTGTACTGCACCCCACTGGTCCCTGAAGCCCACTTCCCTTCTCCTGTGGGTGCTTGTGAACTTGCTCATGGCCGTGTGTCCTGTCCTGTGCAGGTGGAGCCCCTCCTGCTGCTGAAGGCAGCCCTCATCTTACAGACCTGCCAGCGCACGCCTCACATCCTAGCAGGCTGCATTCTCTACAAAGGACTGTGAGTAACACCATGCCTCACTTCAACCATGCCCCTGCTGCAAACCTCACCCCCACCCCAACCCCCAGTTCCGAGTCAGGTGGTGGGCAGTTCCAAGCTGAGGTTTGGCAAAGGCCAGGTCATTTAGCTTGACCTAGGCCACATTCCTGTACACATAGTCACAATTGGAAACTGTTCAGGAAAGAGCTGAGGAGACAAAGGGACCCTATGGGCCTCGGCTGGGTCATCCCGCTGCAGAGGTCAGTGGACAGAAGGCAGAACAGAGCCCTGGTGTTGGCAGCATTCCGTCCTGCCAGCAGAGGCTGCACATGCCTGCTGCAGCTCAACTCCCCAGTGCAGCCCCACATGCTATGCAGCTCCCTCTGGTCCCTCAGCCAAACCTACCACACAGCTTCACTCAGGTGGAGGGCCTCTTCACGAGCCCAGGTGCCTGAGAGCCACTCCATGCAGCTTCTAAGACCTCTTCTTGTGGAGGGTTTGTGGTCACTGTCCAGGCAGGCAGATGCAGGCCCAGAGCATCCTGCTGAGAGGCATGCTCCTGTCAGAGCCCTCAAGAACGCATCTGCAAAGCCTGGCTTCTCCTCCCTGCTCTGCAATCTAGAGCAAGTTACTTAGCCCCAGTTTTCTCTTCTGGGTAGAGACCTTTGCTTGAGGGTGGAAAGAGTGGGTGGCTGTGGAGGACAGAGCACAGACTCCGTGCACACCATCCCCTTTCCCTCTCCTGTCCTCATGATGGCTCTGCATGCCACCTTGACAGAACATCAGAGATAGAACTTGTGGGCAGCAAGGTGACTGGGTGGGTAAAGGTGCTTGCCACCAAGCCTGATGACCTAAATTTGATCCCTGGTACCCATTGAGAGCAGACTCCCATAAGTTGTCCTCTGACCTCCACCACACAACATGGCACTTGCATACTGGTGTGTACACACACACACACACACACACACACACACACACACACACTAAATGCTTTTAAAAAGATACTCTTTCCTTACTCTTATTTTATATTTTCTGTATACTTTCTTTTTTTGTTGTTGTTGTTTTTTTTGTCTTTTTGAGACAGGGTCTCCCTGTAGCCCCAGCTGTCCTGGAACTCACTATGTAGACCAGGCTGGCCTTGAACTCACAGAGATCCGCCTGCCTCTGCCTCCCAAGTGCTGGGATCACAGGCGTGCACCACCACACCTGGCTTTCCTGTATACTTTCTAATGATAAGGCTAATAATCCACCATCTCATTGTAAAGAGTAAAGTACCAATGGCACAGGGTAGAAGCCCCTCTCCTTCCCTCTCAGCTCATGCCACGGTCAGCAGTGTGGCAAGTGGCTCTTCAGTTTGTTTCCTCATTTGCACATCGACACAGATGCTGACTTTGTTTCTGTTCTCTGTGCAAATGGAACGTGGGGTTCCTCAGCTTTGTGTTTACAGCATAGCATCTCACCTAGGCCCTGGCTGGCCTAGTGCTTTCAGGGGAGCACTCTGGCCTCTTGTTCTTAGAAGAGTTGCATGACTGGTGTTCAGGCGGTGCTCTGGGTGGTTTACTGAGCGACTCTTTTCAGTGGATACATGGGTAGATTACTTGTGTTTCGAACGTGTCTACCATATTCTGTGGTAGGTACCCTTTCAAGGCATCTTGGTGCAGCTTGGTCAAGGAGTTTGCATATTTTGACTGTCAGTGGGAACTGCCAGAGAGCCCTTCACAAGGGTTCTGCCAGCTGAAACTCCTGTCGGCCATGCCCCAAGATTCTTGGCCCTGAGAGACCTCGACATGTTTGAAGCCAAGAGGCTCCAGCAGCTTCTCAATGGTGTCCCTGTCCCTGTGTCTGACCCCCAGGATTGTGAGTACCCAGCTCCCGCCCTCCCTCACTGCCAAGGTCCTGCTTCAGACTGCATGCCAAGACCAGGTACGGTATAGCCCTGGTGGGAGGCAACCCCTGGGCACCAGCTGCCAGCCTGGTGAGGCAGCGCCACACACTGGACAGGTTGGAACACTTACCTCACTGAATTTTGTCATGACTCCTCATCTGCCATGTGGTCAGGAGTGAGGCCACTGACTATAAGACAGAGTTTTCTGCTGCCTAGTGAGCCTGGGTTTGTTTGACGCCCATCAAGATAAGCTTGGTGGTAAAGAGATAGAGGGTATTTCAGCCACACTGTAAAGGATGAGTCCTTAGAAAAGCAGGAACACTGCTTGTTGTAGTGAATGTCTAATCTCAGCACTGGGGAGGCTAAAGTAAGAAGTTCGTGAATTCAAGGCTAGCCTGAGCTATAGAGTGAGATTCTATGTCTCAAAAGATAGAGTGGGAGGGGAGAAGACAGGCAGGCTGACTGAGAAAAAGTTTAGAAGCCCTCCCACTTGGTATGCATTTAGTTGTATGTTCAATGAAGGAAGTCACACAGGATCACTGGGAGCATGGCTCCAGCAGCCGATTGCACAAGCACCACAGCTTATGCCTAGCAGGTTACCTGGTAACCCTTTTTTTTTTTTTTTTTTTTTTTTTTTTTTTTTTTTTTTTCTTGTATTTTGTTTTGATTCTGAATATGGAGGGGCGGAGTGTGTCTCACTATGTAGCCTAGGCTGGCTTTGAATTCCTAATTCTCCTGCCTTAGCCCCCAGTGCTGGGATGATAAGCTGAGCCATCAGCCTGGCTTGTTTTGTATGCTTCTGAGTGTGAACACACAATGTCAAATGTGTTGTGGATGTGTCTGGGGAGCAGCTTTCCTGGGTAACTGCCAGGAGCCCTGAGGGTGCCCTGGCCTATTCCTGGTGACTCGGCCTCTGGTCTCTGCGCCAAGGAAAGACAGCTGCTGGAACAGCCTGTGTTCAAACCATCAGGCTTGTGAGAAGTCACATGAGACAGGGCGTGGGGTGGACTCTGGCCTGCTGGTACTGCCCAGGATATTTGAGCTCAGTAGTTGGGACAGAGGCCATGTGTCTCCGAAAGCCACAGAGAAACTGCTAGTATTATCTAATTTTCACCAATAGACTGCTAGCCATTGGTTATGGCTGGGAATCCATAGATTTACCCAGGCTGCTATAAACTTCAAAAGATCTTAGCAAGCTGGGCGTGATGATGCATGCCTTTAATCCAGTACTGGAGAGGCAGAGGCAGGTGGATGTCTGATTTTGAGGCCAACCTGGTCTACATAGTTAGTTCCAAGCACACCCCCCAAATGCAATTGTATATTACTGTTTTAAATGGAAAAATGGAATTTTATATGTCCCCAAAGTAGAAACAGTGCATATGCTTATAGAGGAAATGCCCAAATATTAACAGGATTATTAGCTTTAAAGTAAGAGATTGCATATGGTTTTTTAAAAAATTTTTACCCGAGTAATTTCCATATGGCTCAGTGATATAAAACACAACCAAAAAAGGCTGAGTGCCCAGTGCTGCTGGAGGAGCAGTTGGTGTATCTCTGGGTTTGGGTCCTTTTGGAGCCTTGAGTTTAAGTGAAGCTTTTGTTTTTTCTTGAGAAAATCCTCGTTTCTGACCTTGACTGTGAACCAGAATAGGTAAGATCCAGTGCCACAAGGTTTTCAGGTCAAGTCCCTTGGGCAAGGGTGCCAGGGCCTCCATAGTCTTAATTACAATAACTTCTTTTTCTGGTCTTTTTGAGACAGGGTCTCCCTGTAGCTACAGCTGTCCTGGAACTCACTATGGAAACCAGGCTGACCTCAGTCTCACAGAGATGTACTTGCCTCTGCCTCCCAAATACTGGGATTAAAGGTGTGCACCACCACGCCCCTCACGATGACCTTTCTGTGAGTGTATGCCAGTGGTGGGCAGATGGGGCTGTGCTCTGTCTTGGTAGGAACCCAGGTCCTCCCATGTGCTAGGCATAAGCTCTCCCTGAGCTCCATCCTCATCCCTTTGTTTTGTTGGTTTGCTTATGTATTGTTTTTCTTTACTGGGAATGGAGCCCAGGGCCTTGAGCACTAGGTAGCCTCCATAACTATGTTCTGGACTGAGTTCCCAAGGTAGACTAGAGGACAGAAATCCTCATTTTTAGCCTTCTGTGGGAGACGCTGAGCAATTCAGAGCTTAAAGTGGCATGTGGACCCCGAGACCACTGCTTTGCAAACCTGGCTTCTCCTGGCTCTCCCAGGGAGCAAGTGACTTTGGGGAGCCTCTGCTCCACCTGCCAGGTTCTTGGCTCAGGGTTCAGACAAGCTCTCTGGGCTTGGCTGAGTTCTGTGAGCAGATGGTGCCATGAATTTCCTGGTGGTTAGGTCAAGAGGAGAATGTACCTGGTGCCAATGTGTGTGTGTGTGTGTTTGTTTCAGAGACTGCCAGCGGCAGGGGACACCCCACAGGGAAGAGGTAAGAGGTGTGGAGGGCAGTGGCTTCATTTCTGTGCTGTCGTCATGTGATGAGCCAGGCAGAGAACTACTGGTCTCTGTGTGGATTTCCTCTGCTCATAGGTTGAGAAATAACTCTAGGCCATTTCTTCTACAGCTGTAAGACAGTTGCCTTTTGGCACCTGATTTCCAAGCTCACAATTTGGGGTAGACCTTCCCTTAACTCCACACGGCCACACTGCCCAGACAATGTCCAGGCTGTGCTCATGGGGGTAAAAAATTGGTGGTGTCCCCAAGAGGCTATGGCTTCATTCTGAAGCCCAAGTTAGGGCTGAGCTCTTGACCAGTTGGAAGCTTTCTTCCAACTCACCGTGTCCATGTCTCCTTCTCCACCATCAGAGTCACATGGCTTTGTCCTCGCTACTCATGGAGCTAGACTGTGGCCCTGGGGCTTTGGGCTGTGGGAGTACCCCCCTGTGCTGCTGTCTGAGCCGGTTGTAGGGCATGTTCAGGCTGAAGGCAGACCTGGACTTGTCTTCAGCTGATGGAACCCTGCCCATGTTGCTTTGCACTGCAGGAGCAACATTGCCCTCAAATGTGCAGATCATCCCTGTTTTCCTGAGTGAAGAGGAAGCTGCTAATCTCCACGAGTTCCCAGTTGAGTGGAGGAGGATGAGGTAGGTGGGGGAAGCTCCTAGGGCCCCTTGCAGGGTGCATGTTCCTCCAGCCCATAGCCTCCCCACTACCTTGTAAGGGTGTTGGTCAGAGGTGCCCAGGCCTTGGGGATGCCATGTGACACCTGGTATGGATCCTGACTCTCAGTAGACCCTCTAGTACTGGTGGACTTGGCCACCTCAGGTTGGTGGTGAGGAGCCCAGAGGCTGGTCATTGCCTTTCTTTACTTTAACCATGGTGGCATCTTGGCTCTTACAACTGCAGAAATCTACCCATGGGTTTCTGTCATCCATGTCTGTGCTTTTCATGGGATTGGTGCCTCATTGTCCCCACAGAGGCCTCTATCCCACACTCTGTTAACGTGACATCTGTCTTGTTTTTCAGGTTCCAATACAGCTCATCTCAGTACCCTCCCCAGGGTCGGAACACGTCTATCCTGGCAGAAAATGTCACCAGACACATGACATCTGCAGCCTGGACATCAGCAGCCACCCTGGAACCTACCCCCACTGATGGAGCATGGCTGAATGGCAGGGGAGAGAATGGACACTTGCCTGGGCATGAGCAGAAGTGGGTGGAGTCCACGGGACTGTGCACTACTGCCTGGGGCCAGGGGTCTGGCTGCAGCAGCCAGCTGCAGAATCTGGGCTTCCCCCAAGGAGAGCTGGACTTGTCTGAAACCCACATTCCCGAAGCTCAGGAAGCCTTTCCAGCTGTATGTGCCCCAGACTGCAAAGGCCCTTATTATGAGGAAGCTGTCCTTGCCAGCCACTGGACTCCCTCTTTGCCTGTAGATACAGCTGTTGGCAACTGCCTGGCTCCCTCCTCTCTCAAGAGACTCCCTGAACGTGGAGCCCTAGAACAGGATGTAGACCTTCCTAGCACCAGTGGCCAAGCCCAAGAGTCTGGTGTCGACCCTCTTCCCAGGAGGGGCAGCAGGTCTGGGCCACTGCCTCCTCCAGGTATCTGGTCAAGAAAATGTGAGCTTCTGGAAGGGGGTGGAGGCCACGGGAGCGACACAGTCCCCACTCTGGCACATGCTTTCCACTCAGCCGACTCTCGAGTCCCTAGCCCCTCTGCAGATGGAAGTGATTCTGAGCCAGCCCTTGCAGGCCTTGTGCGCATGAATCTCTATACTCACAGTGTGAAAGGGCTGGTACTGTCTCTGCTCGCAGAGGAGCCTCTTCTGGGAGATGCCACAGCCATTGAAGAGGTGGTAAGTGTCCCCAGCCTCCACTGTAGCCTCATTTGCCCCCTAGAAATGGGGACCAGTCAACTTCCTGCTGCATGAACTAGGCAAAACGTTCATTTGTGCAGTGGGACTGAGGGTTCTGTGAAATATGTGGGAGTGAACCACACGTGTGGTAGCACTGGTGCAAGGCAAGCACGTCGGGAGCTTTCCTTCGGCAGTCTGTGGAAACACAGGCCTTGGAGGAGGGAGAGCTGTGCTGGAGTGTGGGCTTGCACACAGCCCCGACCCCTGTGTCTTGCTTCCATTCTAGTAGCCTGCCACGGTACTCAGCCTCCTGTTCTGAGGTGGTGAGGTCATGTTGGCAGAGACTACAGGCATGGTCGCTGGCCACCCTGCTCTTACCCAGCTTCCAGCTCACTGTTGCCTGGCATCTGTCTTCTGCGGTGTCACAGCCTGGGGTGGGGCTTCCCAAAAGTCCTGCATTTCCTCCAGAGCCCCAGCTTCACATGGTGGGGGCTTGCCCACCTTCCTAGAGGACATCTGAAATCCAGACTGGCCATGGATGGCTCCTTTTGAACAAACATCTCTTAACAGCAGTGAACTGACCTCCAGGACCTGGGCCCACACTGGAGATTGAGTTGCTATAGCAACAGCCTTGCTTTAGTTGGCAAGGAGCAGGGTTGCAGGAGGAACAGCAGGCTGCACTTGGTGCAGGGCAAATGGTGTTCTGGGGCTTGCCTCGTTTTTCTTCTTAAACCCATATTAGTCTAAGCTGGTCTTATTAGCATGCAGGACTTGTGGCCTGCCACAGATGAACAAGTCACCTTGGAGCATAGAGGAGGACAGGCTGCCGAGCAGCTTGCTGTGCAGAGTGGCCAGCGAGAGCCATCTCTCCTCTTGAGCTGTCTGACTTACCCACCTGCAGCCCCAGGTTGTGGCTGGGTCCACCTTAGCATGGCAAAGGGGTCTGGCTGGGGCTTTGCACAGGGCGGCCCCATGATTCTTGCAGTGTCTCAGGAGTGGTATCTTGAAGGCCCAGCGTTTGGATGCAGTGGAGTGGATAAAATAACCCTTTTGCCCCCAATCCCCAAAAGAAGAACAGGCCAAGACTGTTGAGAGGAGGGGCCCTCAGCACCAGCTGTCTGTTTGCTGCTGCTGTGAGCCACGCCTGGCAATGGTTCTAGAAGGCAGGAACTGTAGCTCCTGACCTACCAGGGGAGAACAGCCTCATTGAGATGGAGAATTCATGCTGGTGGTGGGCCAGAGTTCTTGCTGGGTTCTTGTGACCCAGTCCTCACCTCTCTGTCCCCAGAATTGTCTGCCCTCGCTTTGAAAGGCTGGAAGGTGAGGGAAGGAATGTCCTTCTCTCTGTGACTCCTGCTGTGTGGACAAGTTGCTTGGTTTGTCAGGGCCAACCATGTTTTCATGACAGTAGCTGTCAGGAACTTGCCTCTAAAGGAGGGCCTGGTGCTGGTTAGGCCTAGGACATAGACTGCAACGTTGTGGAAGGCAAAAAGTGAAAAGCCAGTTTTTCTAAATAATAGGGAGTATGTCACTGATCAGTACTGGTTTGAGAGTGAATTTGTTAGACAGTTCCCGTGCCTAGTTTGTAACTGGGAGAGATGTTACTGCCTTTCTGTCCCAGACCTATATAGAATCCTTGTCCTGATGTCCCTGCAGTTCTTCAGCTTTCTGGAAGGCCAGAGTCTCTGTAGCTGGTCCACTTCAGGCCTGAAGGAGCCCCAGCTAGGCATTTTGCTAGCTTGTCTTTCAGGGGATCAACTTGAACCTCTGCGTTTACGGGAGGAGTGGCAAGGCAATGGGAGGGTGGGAGGGTGCAGCTGGGAGCCTGGGGACTTGTGTGGTCCCAGGGGAGTGGAGGAGGCTACCACTGGGGGCAACTTCGTGCCATGGAGGAGCTTCCTGCTCTGAACCCAAAATATGCTCTAGACTTTCAGATGTAATGGCCTGTAAATAATTCATTGCTGCATTGGGACATGCACCATAAGTGTGGGTGTGGGTATGGGTGTGTGTGTGGGTGTGTGTATGGGTATGGGTGTGTGTGTGGGGTGTGTATGGGTATGGGTGTGTGTGTGTGTGTGTGTGTGTGTGTGTGTAGATGAGGCTGGAAGGCAGGGTGGGAGTGTAGTGGGGTACACACTGGAAAAGCTCTCCCCTCCCCTAGCCATGAAGCTGGCACTTTCTGAGTCTGGGCTCCCCACAGCTTTCCCAGGCCACAGCGCTGCCGTTGCTCAGCCCCTGTTGCAGTGTGGACTGTGGTCAGAGTGTTCAGGCCATAACCCAGCCCTGCAACTCCTTGGGCTGTTTCGGGATCATGCTGATATTGGATTGACTTTTTATCCAGAGCCAGAACACAGCAATTTTCATCTTTGCACAGCTCTTCAACCCTGTGTGGTTCAAAATAGCCACAGCCAAGGTGTAGATAGCATGCTATCACAAATATGAACACTGGAACACCATAGAGTTTTCACATCATAGCATTATTCATTTGATCTTTCCCCCAACTGAACACAAATCCGAGAACCTCTGTATGGCTAGACCATACAGAACAGGCCAGCCCTGCTGACCCCTCATATCTATGACAACACTGGGTTGTCAGTAAGAAATTGCCCTCATTGTATGTGACATAACACCTTGTGACTTCTTGTGGTTAAGTGAGTCTGCCTTGAGCACAACCTAGGCAGAAAATTCTGGAAGCAGAGCATAGTACCTGTAGTGAGAACAGGTTTCAGCCTTGCTCACTCTGGTCCAGTTGTCCCTTTTTCTGAGCACCAGCTTATGGAGGAATGGCTGTGTGGTGAGCACTCATGTGGCCTTAGCGTCCTTTCCGTCACACAGGACATATAGCTGTTCAAACTGAGGCTTTCGTGTCTGCTAACGACAGTGTTGGTCAGAGTGTCCTGGCAGTCTGAGGGTATGAAGTGGCTCTGTATGCCTGCTTCACCAAGCCCAGCACACACACTGTGTCCACTCATTGGCTCACTAGTGGGAATCTGTTGGCATACCACCCATCTTCTGGGAAGTCTTCTAAGACAGAGTGTGTGGGCTCCTTTGGGACAGCCCTCCTCAGCCAGCTTCCCTCTCTGAGCCACCGAGGGCAGAGCAGGAGGGCATGGGACTAGCATTCCTCAGTCCTTTTAGAAGCTCATTCTCCATGCATCAGGGAGATGCTGACTCACTATGACCAGGGGTGAAGTGGGGATACACCAGGTGCCCATATGGTTAGAATGAACAGTTCTGGAGGAACTGTGGGGAAGCCGTATGAGGAAACAACTGCCACCACTGGGAGTGACATTATGGGTGCTTTTTCTTTTCTTTCTTCCCCTTCTTCCTTCTGTACCCTCCTTCCTTCTACCCAGGATGGCCTCGAACTTGTGATCCTCCTGCCTCAGCCATCTGAGTGCTGGGATTATAGGTGAGCACTACTGTTCCTTTTCTTTCAAAATTTACTTTTCTGGTAATTTTCTTATTATTCTATAATATAACCCTTAATTTAAAAATAGAACATGGGACTAGAGAGATGTCTCAGTGGTTTAGAGTGATTCCCATTCTTCCAGAGGATCGAGTTCAGTTCCCAGCACCCATGTCAGGTGACTCACAACCACCTATAATTCTAGCTCCAGAGGATCCGATATCTGGCTCTGCAGGCATATACATATGCATACATAAAAAATAAATCTTTAAAACATTAGAACATAAGGGGCTGAGCATGATGTATACCTATAATCCCAACACTCAGGAGGCAGAGGCAGGAGGTTTGCCAGAAGTTTGAGGCCAGCCTGGTCTACATAGTGAGTTCCAAGCCATCCAGGCTCCATAGGGTGGCCCTGTCTCAGAACACAAACAGACGTATCTAAGTGTAACTTGGTGCTTCATAGAAATAAGCAGAAGTACTGTGTCTTAGTTTGTTCTTCATTGCTGTGACAAAACACTCTGACCAGTACCAACTTGGGGAGGAAAGGGTTTATTTGTCTTACATCTCCCAGGTCACACACAGTTCATCAGGGAGCCCAAGGTAGGAACTCAGGGCAGGAACCTGGAGGCAGGAGCTGGAACACAGGCCATGGAGGAACGCTGCTTACAGGCTTGCTCCCTTGGCCCCTGCTCAGCCTTCTTTCTTATGCAACACAGGCCCACCTGCCCAGGGGTGGCACCACCCACAGTGGGCTGGGCCCTCCCACATCACTCATCAAGAAGGTGCCCTTCAGACATGGCCACAGGCCAGTCCAATAGAGACAATTCCCCGACTGAGGCTCCCTCAACCCAGGTGTGTCAAGTTGACACTAAAGCTATCCAGCACACACTGGCCATTTTTGCTAAGACCAGTGGCTGCTGAGGTTGCTTACCTTTTAACCAAGTCCGTGGTCAGATAGAAGGCCCTGTGAGGCCTGCTGGAGCTCATTCTTCCAGCCTGTGACCCACTCCTGGTCCCTCTGCCCCTCTGCAGTACCACAGCAGCCTGGCCTCGCTGAATGGGCTGGAAGTCCACCTGAAGGAGACACTGCCCAGAGACGAGCCTGGCCCCGCAGGTAGCTCATACAACTTCGTACATTATGACCGCATCCAGAGCGTGCTGACTGGTAAGGCACCGTCATAGGACCTCCCCATGTATGTGGGTGGAGGGAGAACTTAGCCTCAGCACTGTGGTGACACTATGCCACCCAGCCTTCTGACCCACGGCTTGGATGTGGCTCTTCCCTGGATCCAAGCCCCACTGAGGGATGAACTCACTGGGCAAACATCTTTGTTCCTTTGTCATTTTTGGGTTTTCCTGCTCAAATATTCATGTGTAGGTTAGCCCCAGAACACTGAGGCCCTAAAGTGGGTGCTGTTTGTAGCTCACAGTGGACAGAGCTGGCTGTGCTCCCTTGCAGGGCAGCAGTAGATCCAGCACCCTGAGGTGCTGTTCTCCTCCAGGCCTTGCTGCCCCCATATCCAGGACTAGGCCCAGTGGGGGAAGGGGGAAACTGCCATTCACCACCTGTCTCTTCTGCAGCTAACCAGCCCCCCATGGCTGCTCCCCAGGACCGCCGCTTTCTACAGGCTGTCAGCCTCGTGCACTCTGACTTTGCCCAACTGCCCACCCTGTATGAGATGACCATCAGGTGAGTCTCTGAGCCACTCTCAAAGTTCCTTCCCCATAGTCCTGCTCCTGGCTGGGGTCACCTCCTGGCCTGGCAATGCTCGTCGCTAGGTAGAGGACATACTCCATCCTCTGCTTCCCTGAGACCAGTGTCCTCGAGTGCAGGCATGTGTCTGGGGTGTTCTGGAACCTTTCCTGAAGGCTAAGACAGAGGCAAAACAAGATCTAAGACAAGGCAAAACAAGTCCTCACTGTCACAGAGCACAGGGCTGTGCCATTCCTGAAGGATGGGCCAGAAACAGTGCTCAGCTAACACCACTGGCTTCTAATTGAAACAAACGTGCAGAAATTCCTGCAGTGGGGCATCTTCCTCATGTGCCCATCAAAACCAAGAGCCGGCTCATTCCTGGGGTACACTTGGCTCACTGGGTACAGCTGTCTTGGTTCATTGTTTGTAGCTGATGACATGTGGTTTCATGTCCTCAGCCTGTGGTTCTTCACACTGATGACACTAAGGACGCTGATGTCCTCTTCTGGGTGTCTTTGCGTGCTGTCTAACCAGCAAGCCTGTGGATCTCTCCCCACGCTTAAGAAACTGCTTATGGAAAATGAGGCTAGCTACAGGGATGAAGGGAGGGCCTGCCCTAGTGCTGTTTCATCAGCCCTCAGAACCGTCTGGGCCCATGCATTTAATGTTCCTTATTTCATAGGCGAGAAAACTTAAGCACAGAGAGGACTAGTGACTTGTCTCAGGTCACATTCTCACTAAGTGGCAGGGCTGGGGTTTTGACCCAGGCCTCCGTGGCTCCAAAGTGCATGCTTTTTCCCCATAGGTCTCAGTGTCGGGGAGGGGGAGGGCTGTGGGCTCTGGACTTGGGGGCACACAGAGCCTCAGAGATGATGACATTCCTGTGTCCTGTCACCCACCACACTGGCACCAGCTGTCTATGCACCCGGTATCACCTGCCACTAAAAGTGTAGTCTGTCCTCTCTAGCTATTCTTCAGAGTTGCCCAGGCTGCCAGCCTGGGTGTGACTTGCATCTGTAGCCACCACTCTGGAACCTGGGCGTGCTAGTGTGTAGCTGCTGTGTGGGAGGTGGCAGCAAGTGAAATGTCAGCATCTGCTCCACCGGCTGCCTGGGGCTGGGTCGCTTTACCTTTCCAGCGCCCAGAGAGTTTAGTGTGGGGCAGAGCCCAAGGCGTGTGCTGGGCCACTTTTCACCATAGTAACAGAGTCATAGCCACTCAGCACATGCTAAGGAGCCCACACATATTCTGTGTGCTCTGCAGTAAAGGCTTCACTGAGAGAATACTGTCACTGTGGGCTCCCAGCTCCCCAGCAGGAGGGCTGGTACTGCCACACAGGTGCGACTGGAGCATTTGCCCACAGGAGCTGAAGATCCCTATGCCAGGTGACCTCTTCAGGTGCCCTAGAACCAGAGACTCTCCCTTCTCACCCAGGAGACATCTGAGGAGGGAGAGCCTTAGCCTTGATGCCACAGACATACCAGATTTAGGGAAACAGGCTTGATAGACTGATGGCTCAAGATAGGAAGGATGCAGGGACCAGAAGGTCACCAGGTGAGTTTGTTGACAGGTGACGGTCTCTCCAGTTCCTTCAGAGTTCAGCTGAGAGACACAGGTAGTTTAAACCAGTTTATTTAGACCTCAAAAGTTTAAACCTTTACAGAGGTCAGAGAGGGCTGTCCTGAAAACAGGTAGCACACAGTGGATTCCATCCATTTTTTTTTTTTTTTAATGTGTATGAGTGTTTTGCCTGTATGTATGTAAGTGTACCTTGAATGTGCAGTGACTGACTGCAGAGGTCAGAACGTGGCATTGGATCCCCCTGGAACTGAGTTAAGGATGGTTGTTAGCCACCATATAGGTGCTGGGAACTGAACCTGAGTCCTCTGCAAGAGCAGCCAGTGCTCTTAACCACTGAGCCATCTCTCCAGTCCTGACTTGTTTTTAATTGTGTGTGTGCGCAAGCACAAACACCATGGTGCAAATGTGGAAGTCAGAGGATGTGCAAGTTGGTTCTCTCCTTCCATCCAGTGGGTCCTAGGGATTGAACTCAAGTCATCAGACTTGGTGACAAATGTCTTTACTTGATAAGCCATCCAACTGGCCCTGTGTTGGGGATTTGGGGGGAGTGCTTATGAATATTTATGAGGTATTTATGAGATTGTTAGTATATTCATCTAGCAGTCCATTTTTTCTTACCACATCTCCCCTTTAGGGTATTTCTTCCGGGGTTCTTTGAAAAGGCCAATGGTGGTTGGGGGTAAAACCAAAATGCAAATGATACTGAGGTGTCTAGCTGTCAGAGCTTGGAGGATGCAGACCCCTGGGTAGTGTGCATGTGTGCATGGTGACTGGGAAAGTGTCTGGCCCCTCAGTTTCTGAACAGTGCAGCTTCTAGGCTGTTTAACCACAGCAGGGCTCGCTGACCTTCAGGAGGATACCAAGATGCAGTTGTGGTTTCCTTGGCTCCTTGTGTCTTAACATCCTGCCTACCCAGGAGATACAACTGCAGTTTCCTTGGTTACCCCACTCCTACCTCCTTGCCTACTGGTCTTGGGTCTTTCTCTGTGCAGTACCTTGTCCCTCTGTCAGCCTCTGCATCCACAGGTTTCCTGCTTCCTGTCACTTCCTGACACTCTGTCACTTTGCCCCCTCCAGTCATCACGTGGAGTGTGTGTAGGAACAGGGCAGCATCAGCTATGCTCCTGAGCCCAGAGTCCTTGGATGGCCAGAGACAAGCTCCTGTTAGGGAGAGGTGAGGGATAAAGCTAAGGCTCTTGGTGCTGCTGCAGCCATCCTGCTGACAGCAGCCTCGGCAGCTCATCTATTCAGTGATTGTAGCTTCAGGCCCACCATAGAGGGTCCCAGCCCCAGTGAACTGAAAAGACAGGAGGGCAGTGGTTACTGAGACCGGAAGCTCAAAGGAACAGTCTGAGCCACAGCAGGTGCACCCTGCAGCATCAGGGTGCTAGGGTGGCCATGCAGAGCCCACGCCAGCACCCCTGAGCTGTCCTCTTTCCTCTCCAACAGGAACGCCTCCACAGCAGTGTATGCCTGCTGCAACCCTGCCCAAGAGACCTACTTCCAGCAGCTGGTGCCCACAGCCCGGAGCTCTGGCTTCCCAAACCCTGAGGACTGTGCCTTCAGCCTTGCAGGCAAAGCCAAGCACAAGCTACTGAGGCACGGGGTGAACCTGCTGTGAGCTGGGCTGCTGCCTGGTGTCACCGTGGACTGTGCCGCGGCCCTGCCGGACAGTGTCCCCAGATGGGAGGCCACGATGGTTAGGGTTGATCAGGACTGGACCCTTCAGTGACCATTGGGAGAAGTGAGTGGTCTCACATGCTCTGACCCTGTGCTGATTCTGCTCTGTGATAGGTGGTTGGTGAAGGTGGTGTAGAACCATTTGCAGGCTGAAGAGAGAAGCTGCCAGGATTGCTTTACTCAAAGGACCACTGTGCTAAGGAGATGTGTTGAGAATTTCATGTTTATGAGACAAATCCTCAAGGGCTCAAAATAAAATGACCAAAACTATTGCAGAGTTCTGAGTGCTTAAGTAGCATTGCTGGTAACAGAGCAAGGATCAGGGCAGAAGGGGCCTCCATGTGAGTGTGCATGAGTGAGAGGGTCAGGTGAGGGGGCCTCCTGTGAGTGTGCCCTGCCCTCACTCACATGCACACACACACAGGAGTCATGGCCTCTCACTCTGGCCCTTTCTGTCCAGAGTCACTTCTGTTAACCACAGAGCATATCTGCATAGAAATGCCACACATGGACTCGTAGACTGAGTTGTTCTCAGGCGACCTGGGCCACCCATCCTTTGTGTGTTATGGAGGCAGTGTCTGCTGGTGAGTGCAGTATGGTTTCTTTCCCCATATTGGCCTGTGATCAGTGGACCATGTGGGGGCAGATCCTGTGGATCTGGAAGCTGCCTGTGTTTCCCATGAACCTGCTTCTCTCCTTCCCTCAAGTTCTGGCCAGTGAGGAACTGTAAACATCAAAATGGCCTCTCTAAAGGACAAAAGCCACAGTGACTGCTACCCTCGGGTCCCCTGGGCTCTCATCTGGCCAGAGACCGACCTCGTCAGGAGGGCGCTGCTTCAAGTCAGGACAAAGGTGCATCACCCTCTGCTCCCAGGGAGAAATTCATTCCAAGTTTCTCCACCAGCCTCTCAAAGTGCTTGTATGGCTTCGTCTACAGCCACACTTTCCTTCTGTTAAGTCATGCTCAAGAGCCGCTGTCTCCAGCCCTGAGCTTGCTGAGAAGGCTTCCAGCCTGCGATGTGCTGGAAGGTGGATAGAATTGAGCTGTGCCACCCCATCTCTGCTTTTGGCCCCACTAACTGCAAACTATTTCAAGGAGCATCAGTAATGTCCCTCAGCCCTAGTGTGGACGTGGAGCTGCCAGCAAACCATAATCTTAAATTTGCCTTGCCTTCAGAAACCTCTCTTCCCTTCTACAGGGCTGCGTGAAACCAAGCAGTGCTTTGCATTCAAAATGCATTTGCTTCTATGAACCACTGCTGTGGGCAGGTGTGGGCAACCCTTTCAGCTTACCCCAATGTGGCGTCTTATGGAGTCCTAACCAGCTCAAGAGTGTGGCTTGAGTTCTGTTGAATGGGAAGCCCCAGATGCTGGTCTCTTGAAAACAGGCCCACAAATTTTCCTAGAAATCAGGAACCCAAGTTCCCTCTTAAGTATGGCTATAACCTGGTGATTGGTTTCTTGTGAACGTGTGTGTGTGTGCTCACCTGTGTGTATGCAAGCAGAGGACAGGGATTTGGGGTGTCCTGCTCTATCACTGTCCACTTTATTCCCTTGAGACAGGGTCTAGTCTCATTGAGCCTGGAGCTGGGTTGGCAGCCAGCAAGCCCCAGTAATCCTCATGTCTCTGCACCGCCCCCCCACCCCGCCCTCCAGCACTGTGGTTACAGGCATATGTGTGGCCATAGTTGCTCTTTTAACATGGGTGCTGGGGATCTGAACTTAGGTCTTCATTCTTGTGCAGCAAGTTTGGTCCTACTCCCTGAGCCACATGGTGGCCCACACCTGTCATCCTGATTTCTCAGGAGTTGAGGCAGGAGGGTGGCAACTTGATGAGACTCTGAAAATAAAGACTGGGAATTAGCTCCGATGTAGTGCACTTGCCTAGTATGCACTGAGGTCCTGGGTTCAATTTCCAGGGTTCTGCTCTTATTGGCTCATTATTTGGGGGGAACTGGCCACATATTTTGAGGACATGCATCCCTGTGGTGAGGAACTCTAGTCTCCAGCAGCCATGGGAACCTTGCTGGAAGTGGATCCACCAGTCCCTGTCAGTTCCTGGCAGTCAAGCTTCCAGATGATTCTGACAGTAATGACAGCATTAAGCCTCTCCTCAGGTCCTTTGTTACCTAGCAGCGGGTGATGATTGCACTCAAGTCCCATCTCCCAGGCATAGCCCATAGGGCACCTGCATCTGAGAGCGTCCACTCCAGATATCCCCGACAGATTCAGCTGTCTCCTGTCCCTAGCCTCACAGAGCCTCACTTGTGCAGCCCCTTGAGAGGACACGACAGGACATGACAAAAGTTCATGCTTTTTTTGTAGCCTGAGGAAACCATCAGTAGAGGCTGGGGGTGGGATCCTGGTGACAGTCACTCCTTAGTCCTAAGATGCCTCTGCTGGGTTGGGGGCGGGTAGCAGGGGAGGAGGGGCAAGGGTCTTGAATCTTCACCTTTTCTAATTATACGGCCCAGATCTGCCTGGAGAGCAGCCCACCCTGTTCTCCTGCTGCACGGAAGTGCTGAGCCCCTTGGTGTGGATCTAGCAACAGAGGCCCCAATACCATACCACAGGACAGTTTTGTGTCTTTGCCTTATAAACCTTTTTCTACTTCTGCTAAAAAGAACCTTAATAAATCCCTTCCCTTAGCTACAGACGACCCCATGCATCTCACCCCCAGGGTTAACTCGACGCCAGGGCCTGAAAGACATGCAGTTCTCCCCTCCACCACGTGGGTCCTGGCATTTGAGCTCGGGCTGTTGGGCTTGAGCAGCAAGGGTTTTTACCCGCTGAGCCATCTTACTAGTCCGCCTGGCTTTGTGTCTACCTTTGCTATGGAGATTCCACTGAGACCTCTCTCCACGGGACCTGGTGGCTGCAGCTGTACTTTCCACATGTGGCTGGCCTGGAGTCTGCTGGGAAGGGGCACCCATCGCCAGCTTCCCACTGCAATGTCTCCAGAGCCCAGGCCTGTCAGGATAGTCTGTGTGTAGCCACAGGCTTACACGCTCAAATTAGCTCATGAGAGTCAGGTATTCCATGAACAGAGGTCTGGTAGGGTCTATGCAGATTTCTGCTGTACCTGGTGGGCATCAGGCTCTCTAGTGTCAGTGTCAGGGGTAGTGTCACAGGCAGTGTCTATGGGAGAGCTTCACAGTGGGCCAGGATGACAGATTCCACACACTGTTGACAGCAGAAACCATGGGAGGGGACAGGGCAGCGAACCCTGTTGGGGTCACACCCTGTCCCCCTGCGAACTGTGGGGCCCATGTTCCCAGGGGAGATTCATCCAACCATGAGGTTCCCACTGGGGAAAGGCCTGGGCCCTTGGGAAACATTTGACAACAGCCCTTCCCCAGGAGGAGTGCATCTGTTCACCATGACCAATGGTGTCACTGCTGTTTAGCCCCTGGTGTCTCTTCCAGGGGCTCAGGCACTCTTCTCCCCATTAGTTGCCAGCACATCTAACAGGCCCTGCTCTGAGGGCACTAGCAGTGGCATGCCCCTGGTGCCATGTGCTGTTCCCATCCCCAACCTGTGACTGACTTGTGTGGAAAAGTTCCTGCAGGTATGATTCGGGATGATCTGGCACTGTACAGAGCCCTAGGATGTCCAAGTGGAACATAAGTGCCACCCCGGGTGCTTCTGAGACAAGGCTAAGGAAGCTGAGCCACCTGGGAGAGAGGCTGTGTGAACAGGGAGGCTGAGGGAAGCTGGTGGCCACCAGAAAGCAACGAGAGCCAGAGGGGAGCTGGGCCTCCTGCTCCAGAGCCCTGAGGAGGATTTCTAGGTGTTTAAGCCAAGTTTAGTCATTTGTTCCAGCTGCTGGGGATTCTACTAAACCCATCTACAGACTGAACTCCCAGCGCACAGTGTGGGGCTCAGGTGTGGGGTGGGAGACAGGTCCCACCAGGGCCTCGCATCACAGGAACCTCTGAGCCACAGAGGCTCAGCTATCCTTTGCAGGAAGGTCACCACTCTCAAGAGGGGTGCTGTGGCCGTCTGTAGGGAGGACTTGTGGCCTGCAACATGGAGGAGATAGTGGACACACACACAAACACATATGCACACACTGTGTGTGTGTGTGTGTGCCCTCGTTTTGTGTCTCCCTTCTGACTGTCACTAGGCTTCTCTGTGAGGAATGCCCAGCCAGGATAAAAGCCAAGTACATCACTCTCACCTCAGAAAGGAAGATGCCTTCTTTCCAATACTGTCATTTACTCAAGATGCTTAAAGACAAGCTTCTAGGGCTTTAGAGGAAAGACTTGATAGCTCCTCTTTAACTGACAGGATCTAAATTTCCAACCTGATCTGAGCTGTATTTCTCCTGAGCATCTTTGACCTTGACAAGAGCCTAGAGGCCTATTCAGGATTGCCATGTGTATTCTAAGTCCAAGCCAAATGGCGGTCTCTCTCCTATCCCACCTTCCTACAGGCCCAGTGTGACCAGGCAAAGCCTGCAGAGGCTGCTGCAGGTAATTAACCCTCTCCAGCTTCTGAGCTGGTGCCTCTAGGCTCCCACCACAGCTTTACCTGCACCTTAACAGACAAGTGAGTTGATGTTCTCTTGTCCTCCTGGGGCCTCAGGAAAAGGAGCTGTGGGAGGGGCCTCAGTACCAGGGGGAGGCCTGGGTGTGTGTCTGCACCTTAAGAGGCTTGAAGTTGTCCCCAGAGATCTGCAGGGAACTGGTTTCAGGTTCTAGGACTCCACAGATACCCAGAGGACACACAGTCCATGAAGCTAATGGCCCTGTGGCGTAGCTTGCCCTCTAGATGACTCACAATAGAAAAGACAATGGAAAGAAACAGCAAGTCATTGTTAAAGAGTAATTGCCAAAAAGCCTCACCACCCAGCACAGCTACAATTTCTGCCCCACCTTTTGGGCAGTATTGGTTACATGCCCAGTCCCCTATCTTTTCACTTTTGTGTATGCAGGTGTGTGTTAAGTGAGTGTGGAGGCCAGACGTCATTCTCAGGTGTTGCTCCTCAGCAGTCCACCTTGTTTTTGATACAGGGTCTCTCCCTGGGACCTGGGGCTTGCAGATTAGACGGGTGATTGGCCTACAAGCTCCAAAGATCCTCCTGTCTCCCCTCCCCTAGCACTGGGATTAGAAGTGTGAGACGCTGTGCTCAGCTTTTTATTGGATGTTGGGGATCAAATTCAGGTCCTCATGCTTGAGTAGCAAGCACTATACCAAACGAACCCTCTCTCCAGCACCATCCCTTTTACCTTTAATATATATATTGATCTATGATCTCTAAATTGCCCAGGCAGAAATTGTGATCTTCCTGAGTTGGCCTCCTAAATGTTGGGTTTACATATCCTTCACTACCATGTCTGACTTTTCCCAAATACTTTGGACTGAGTTTGGTTACAGCTGTGGATCTGGAACCTGTGGACCTACTGTATGGCATGTGCATGCCTTCCCTCTAACTCCAGCCTATCCTGTAGCCAGCCACAGAGTGGTTCACAGTTACTGCTTGTTCTGGGCCTTGGTTTTCTCGTGTTGGATGTGCTTAACTGTCCTGGAGCCAAGCAGTGACATGGGAAGGCTTACAGGGGACACAATGTGATCTGTACTTAAAGAAAGCCCTTGGGGGTTGGGGGTGGCTCAGGGGTAGAGTGCTGGCCTAGAATCCCCCAGTGAGGGACAGGGGGACCCAGGGGTAGAGAACCTGCCTAAAATCCACCAGTGAGGGTTTGGGGTGGCCCAGGGGTAGAGTACATGCCTAGAATCTCCCAGTGAGTGGCTAGGGTGGCTTGGGAGTAGACGATCTACCTAAAAATCTACCAGAGAGGGGCTGGGAGTAGCTCAGCAGTAGAATTCCTGTCTGAAATCCACCAGTGAAGAGTTGTGGGTGGCTGAATGGCAAAGTGCCTGCCTAGAATTCACCGGGGGACATAAGAGCAATGTGCTTGCCTAGGATGCACATGACTCTGCATTCCATTCCAAGCACTGCATAAAACCATGAACCAGGGGGACGTGGGATTAAGGGAAAAGGTAGGAGGGAGGTGACCAGAAGTCAGGCTCAACACGTATACCTGGGAAGAAGGTGGGACGTGAAGGGCTTGGCCCCATGTGTGCATCGCCTGCCACCTAACGCTGCAATCTGCTTTAATGTTTCTCCAGCCATCTGTCAGCAGCTCTGAAATCTGTGGCCTCATTCTGTCCTGTTCCCCATGTCTACATCTGGTTAGCAGAAGTCAGCTGGGGAGGTAAATGTCACAGTGGCTGCTGGTGGCAGTGAGGTCCCCAGAACAGCACTGTTTTCTAGCCCTGTTGCTCTTATTGACTTAATGCACTAACACTGCACACATGCCTGCACATGCACAGACCTCCTATCCACTGGGATGTTGACGACATATTGCCCTATTCAGAACCTATGAATCAAGTGTGAGGCCTGTCTCACCAATGAGACCCAAGTGGATTGGGGCTTCTTGGGGGCAAAGGGAAGAAATCACAACCCAAATTTGGCTCAAGACTCAACACGGAGGCTCATGGAGCAGAACAGTCGCACAGGTGGCGCTGGCTTCAGGCAAAGCTGCTTCAGGATGCAGATGGTCTCCACAGGCCAGGCCAGCTCATGCCTATGTGGCTCATGCTTGGGTTTTATACCCAGTAGTCAGTCCATAGCCCCAGAAAACTGCCTCTCTTTCTCAGTAGCCCCAGCAAAAGAAGGGGTCAGCTGCTCAGCCCTCATCCAATAGGGTGGCCAGGAGTTCAAGAGGCTGGTCAGGCTTGGGTCAGGGACCCATCCCTGAAAACCTGTGGGCTAAGCATGGACCACTACAGCTTTGCTCAGGGTTGGGGATGTAGCTCAGTGGTGGGACCTTTGCCTAGCACGTGCAAGTGTCTGGGTTCTACCCCAAGTCTCACAAACAAACAAAAAGACCCATTGTCCAGGATTCTGTGGCCAAGAATTGTAAACCTCTGGCTGTCCTAGAGGGTGAGATGGCCTGCCCAGCATGACAGTTCAGACCCACTCTCCCGCTGGCTGTCTCTAGAGCTTTATAAGCCTTCCTGCCCAGAGCAACCATCCTCAGCCTCAGCCAGATTAGAACCACAACAGAAACGAGTTACAGAACTTACCCAGGTCTGGGTCCCACCCAAGCACGGAGTAGGCAGAGGCTGGATTGGGTGGTGGGGGTGGGACCTAGAAGACCAGTGTGGAGTAGGCTCACCCTCCCCATGCTGGACACTGTGGAGCACTTGCCTGTCACCAAAGACAATTCAGGTTGCCCTGGAGGGACGATGAAATGGAGAAAGAGTTTAGGGTCTAAGGACCTGAGGGGCATCTTGTACGGATCAAGTAACAAGGCCAAGTGACTTGGCGTGGTCTTGGCTGTGGAAGCAGAAGAGGATCTGGGATGAACACCCTCAGCTCTCCCCTTTCTCACCTTGAGCTGCTCCAACTTCAACATGGAAATCACAGTAACAACTGCCTACCTGGCAAAGCACACATTGGTGGGTGAGAAATACCTTGGCCCTGGACAGCATCATTCTTCTGGCTGCTGGCTGGCCCTGGGCCTGAGGACCAACAACTGTAGAGTTGGGCTGCCTCTGGGCACCTGGCCACCACTCCAAGCTCTCTTCTAAGAAGAGATGTGAACCTTCCTTCCTCTGCCTCTCAGTCACCTGTGGCCTCGCTATGCAGAGGAACCCCCACGTCTACTGAGCACCTGTTCTGTAATGCTCTGTCTACAGAGAAGCCAACTGGTGCCGAGAAGAAGTGGCTTTTAGGAAGTGGCAGGAGAGTGAACTCCAGGTGCTGAGCCTGAATCCAGCTTTCCTGGATTCATTTTGACATTAGAACCCACCTGGTTTCTGTTTCCACTCTTTTGAGATGCTAGGGAGGGAATGAAGGGCCTCAGGCATGCTAGACAAGCAGTCTGCCACTGAACCACACCCCAGCCCTCTCTTTGGAGAGATATCCACATGGTCTCACTCACCATTTACCAAGGCCTTCTGCATCCCATCCTCCTTGGTGGCGCAATTCAAAAACCAAGAGCCTCCCACTACCAGTCCCTCTGTCCAGGTCCCACCGTCTCTCACAGACTACTTGACCATATCACTCATCAACAAGGTTTTTTATTTACCTTCTGTTTTCCAGCCACATCCTTGGAGCGGGGTGGGGTGGCCAGGTTGTGTGGGGTCTTCACTGAGAACCTCAGTGTAGAGGCTGTGGAGGGGTGACGGGTCCCTCCCCACCTGTGAGCGGAGAAATACTCCTAGAAGCAGCAGGTTTGCATTTGAACCTAACACTACACCAGCACATTAGACAAACTGCCCACTCTGTCCGGCTTCTGACACTGCCCATGGGCCACTGCTTCCAAAGGGTATCCCGAGGATGGTGGGAAGGCAACACGCTCACACATCATCTGGACTCACGGCCTCGGTTTTGGGAAGAGAACTGTGTGTCTTTACCAGAGACCAAAAAACCAGCACCATGACCATGGGTCCCTCCTGCATCCTTACATTCACACAGCCTTGGTCACTGTGATGACAAACACAAGGCTGACCCTTCACTGTTTGAGTCTAGCATTTGAACATTTATGTACAGATAATAAAGAAATGACAACACCTAGGTGACAGACTCCAAACAAAGCACAAAGGACACTCTGGTCAGATTTGGAACTCCCAGTCTGACAGAGAAAAGCTTCCTGGAATGTGGCTGGTGGTTGAGGCTCAGCCCAGCATGGCTCCTGCCAGCCACCCCAGTGGACTCAAAACCACAGCCACAGGGCATGTCAGGCCCATCTTGGCAGTAGGGCTTCTGTGGGCAGTGAACTCGGGGGATGCCTGCTCTGTGGCTGACCTGGGAACTTCACACTTCTACAGGAAGCTGTGGTTAAAAGTCCCTGGTCCCTCCAACTGCCTCTGCCACCAGGGTGCTAAGAGAACAATCTCAATGCTGTCAGACTCCACGGGCTATGATCTAGGTACCCCGACCCTGATGGTGTTTGGTCAGTCCCTAATAAAGCCAGCTAGATCCCTTGTGTGGGCTGCAGACTGTCCTCTGCCCTAATAACAGTGAAGGGTACTCCAAGCACCAGCATCAGAGGCTGAGTTCTCAGGCTTGGTGGCTTGCGGTCTGTTTTGTTTCGTCTTGGAAGATGACCACAAGAAGTTTGAGGTTATTACATTCAGACAAATAACCATTTGGTTACTCTATTTCAGAACACCAAAAAGAAACCAGGTAGCAACGTGACAAGGACTGGTGGGGACACGGAGTCTCTGGTCACAGCCAAGGGGACACACTAGTAGGCCAGAAAGGAGTCCCAGCAAATAACTGCAAGGGAAAGAAAATCTAGGAAGTACAAGTTGAAGTTCCCCATTTACAGTAACCAAAGAAAGAGGGGTCCCTGTGACAGACCCCACAGATGCTTCCAGATGAGGCAGGTGTCTGCATGTGGGATCAGGGCACGGGCAGGGACCGGACTGTCCCATGGTTCACACGGGCTCTGCTCAACCCGTTGCTGGCTTGGCTCCAGCACAGACCATGTGTTCATCGTCCTGGGGCAAAGATGAAATCCAGGGCCTGCCGTTCAGCAGCTGCCACGTTGGGGTGCCAGAGATCCACCATGAAGACCACCCTCGGACCATCATCAGCAGAACCTGGGGAGGTGTGAGAGTGATCAGGTCAGTTGGTCCCAGCCTGCTCAATGGGGCCTAAATTCTGGGGCCAGCTGGGTTCTGAAGACCTCTCCCTGGTTGAGAATGCTCATGTGGCCTCCTGAGGCTATGTGTAAGGTAGACAAATGGAAAGAGAGAGGGATGAGGGATGACCAGGCAGGGCAGTGGCACATCTACATGCCACTGTCATGGTGGAAATGTGTCAAGATGGGGTTGTCCCACCCAACAGATGTCCCACACTGAGAGTGACCCTGAATGACGTGGCTTGTAGGTCACAGAAGCCGGCTGAAATTGGCTCATCATCTGTAACAAAAGTGCCACTAGTACCAGCTGCTCAGGGGATTGTGGGGTGGGGGGATGCAAAGGGGTCCTTGAAACTACCTGCTCAGTTTTCTCTGGAATCCTAAAACTTCTCTTTAAAAAGTCTAATAATTAAGCCAGGTGTCGTGGCACACACCTTTAATCCCAGCACTGGGGCGGTGGGGGGGGCAGAGGCAGGAGGATCTCTGTGAGTTCAAGGCCAGCCTGGTCTACAGAGTGAGTTCTAGGACAGCTGGAGCTACAGGGAGACCCTGTCTCAAAAAAAGGACCAAAAAAAAAAAAGTCTAATAATTAAAAAGCAAGCAATGTCGGCAAGCAGTGGGATAGAGAACGCCCACCTTCGTGGAACGCGGTATGCAGGAAGGAGTCGTCAAAGAGTAGGCACCGGCCTTCTGCCCAGCACTGTGGCTCACCCCCTACCACCAGTTCACAGCCATTGGGAGTCTTCAGACCTTGGGGAGAAACACAACAGAGTGAAGGCAGGCAAGGTTCAAAGACCAGCCTAGGGCAGGGCCCGGCTCCTGGTCGGGTGGTCTCAGCTTCCCAAGCTCCAGGCCTTCCTCACTCCCCTGGACGCCATGCCACGAGCTGAGTGTCTCTGACCTTGTGGTGTTAGGGCCTCTGGAAGGTGATTCCATCATGAATGTGGAGCTGCATGAATGGAACAGGTGTACTTATAAAAAAGACCCCTAGGCTAGAGATAGCTCAGTGGTTAACAGCATGAGTTCAGTTCCCAGCACTCACAACTGCCTGTTACTCCAGCTCCAGGGGATCTGAAGCCCTTCTCTGGCCTCTGAGGGCAATGCATGCACAATACACACACACACACACACACACACACACACACACACACACACACAAATAAAAATTCAAAATCTCACAGGCCCCTTCTACCATCTGAGGACTCAGCAAGCAGTAGATACCTCTCCCACCTCCAACCTGAGGCCCCTGAGCCTCACCACACACCAACATGCAGGTACCCTGAATTTGGACTTCCACTCTCAGAACTATGAGAAATGTGGGTGTTGGTGTGAACCTGCCATGGTGTGGTGTGTAAACAGCAGAGGACAGAATGGGAGTCCACTCTCTTCTCCTACTGTGGGTTCTGGGGCTCAAACCCTGGTCATTAGCCCATGGACAAATGCTTCTACCTGCTGAGCCTTTTCTCTTCTTTTTTTGGGGGGGGATTTATTTATTTGGTCTTTTTGAGCGTCTTCCTATAGCCCCACCTGTGTTGTGCAGTGCCCATGGAGAACAGAAGAGGGTATTGGCTCCCCTGGAACTGGAGTTATAGATGATTGTTAGCTGCCATGTGCGTGCTGGGATTCAAACCCAGGTCTTCTGCAAGAGCAGTGTTCTTAACTGCTGAGCTATCTCTCCAGATTAATGCAGTTTTTGAGCTACAATTGGACTCCAGGAAGACACCACACATACGACTTGGGGCAGATGACAAACTGAACCTTATATGCTGTGTGCCTTCAGGCAAGTTGTTGAACCTCTCTGAGCTCTACCCTCCTTATCTGTAAAGAGGGAACACCAGCCTCTCTACTTTCCAAGGCTGCTCTGAGGCCTTGATCCTTGTTATGAATACCTGAAGATTTATTTCTCATGAGCAGTGTGTGCTGAATAAACACTCCTCAGAAACTTTACCCACTTTCCTGGCAGAGCCACTGAGTGGTTACAGCTTACTAAAAAGTTACTATTTCAGGGCTGGAAAGACGGCTCAGTGGTTAAGAGCACTGACTGCTCTTGCAGAGGACCCAGAACCTACATGGTGGCTAACAACTACCTGTAGCTCTAGTTCTAGGGGATCTGACACCTTCTTCTGACCTCCATGGGCACTGCACGACATGGGTTCACTCACATACATGCAGGCAATACACATACACACAACATAAAAGTAATAAAATATTTTTAAAAAATTAAAGTTACAATTTTGTTCTGTCAGGGACTGTCAGGCCTGTGATGGTTTGACTCCGTAATGTCCCTGTTCTGAAGACGTGGTCCACAGCTGGTGGGCGCTACTGTGAGACATTCTGGAAGTTTTGGGAGGCAGAGCTGGGTTGGAGGAAGTGGGTCCCTGGAGGCAAGACCTTGGCTTGCCTGGCTGGGTCTCTGCTTCCTGGCCTTCATGAAGCAAAACACTATCCTTTGCCACATGCTCCCACCACCATGATGTTCTGTCTAAGCACGTGGGACCAAACAGCCTTGGATTAAACCCTCTGAAACTGGGTGTCAAAATAAGTCTTCCTTCTTCCTGCTGGCTGTTTTTTACACGGCCTGGCTTGCTGACCTGGCTCCTGCTTCCTGGCATCCCCCACCCCACCCCTGCCTTCTGCCACAGCCTTGATGGCCCACCACACCTGCCCAGCATGACCCACACACAGCTCAGATGGCATGGATGGTTAACACTCCCTCAGACAGCACTGGGCCTCTTAGGATGGAGGCAACCCACACATGGCCTTGGACAGCCCTGTCTGTCCCAGGACCCTCTGGCTCAGAACTTGCTTCTCTGTCCTCCCTGAAAGAAGCAGGAATTGGGTAGAGAAAGGGTTGTCCACCTACTGTAGGGGGACAGGGGGAGGCAAGCACACTGATCATTGGTTCCACCTGCCAGACGGCCCAGAACAGCCAACATCATGAGAAATTACAGAGACCTAACCAAACCATGCACACAGTGCTTTGTGTATCCCTTTGTGTCCCCCTGGAAACACCTGCCCTGGGACCCTGCAGGTGATGGATGGCCAGGGTACTCCTGTGGTTGCATGAAGATTTCAGGTGTGGGGACCCACCCCTACAGCAGAGTTATGCGTACATGTGGCAAGTGGTGGGCAGAGTGAGAATGTGGGGTGGCCATTGTTCAAGAGAGTGTGTCAGTCACAGCACAGACAGAAAGCAGACACAGGAGGAAGAACTGACACCCCAGAGCACAGCTGGCCTGCAGGGGTCTCCCCAACTGCAGCTGGCAGAGGTGGTGCTGCCAGGTGCATGCCATTTCGACTTGGCTTCTGACTCCCTCCATCAACACTGAAGATCTGGGAACCTAACTCACCTGTATCTATGTCCTGGGTACACAGTGGCTTTGATGGCATAAAGAACAAAGGCTGGGAAACCCAAGTGCAGACTTGCCTTGGCCAAGGAGCACAGCCACCCTCAGCGGGACCTCTTCCAGGACAGTTCCCTGCTGTACTCAGGGACACAGAAAATCTGCTGTTTCTAGCAAGTTACCAGCTGGGCCAGAAGGGCCTGACCACCATGACAGCAAGCTGTGTGTGTGATCTGTGCTTACCTGCACAGATACCTCCACACACACACCACACCAGACACTGACACAGGAGACCCACCCTAGCTAGCTGTCCCTGCTAGCAGCCCGCCACACTCAACCTCAATCCACATCCTCCACCAACGCTACCCCCATTCTGCATTCTGAAGCCTTTGAAAACACACTAGCTGGAGCCATAGCTCAGTGGTAGAGCCCTTGCCCAGCATGCAGGAGACCCTGGGCTCATCCATGGCACTGTGCAAATCAAAAGCACTCACCAAGAAAAACCTTTGAAGAGAAATGGTTCACTCCCCTGCCAACAGCTTCAGCCCCTCAGCCAGGTCCTGGGGTCTATGGTTTGCTTCTGCCTGGTCTGTCCTACCTCAGATACGCCCCTCTGCCCACCATGTTCCCAGAAAACTTCTCACACTGCCACAAGCCTCAAAGGGAGGGCTCTATCCCCTATTCCTCACTGGATCCCCCATGGCCAGCCCTGTCTGTAGCCTAGGCTTCCCTCATAGAACTTCGCCCATGGTTTATTGACTAAAGCCAGCAGGTGAATCACATAGTACTGATGGCCTCTGCTGTCCAGGAACTCAACATGTACCTACTACTTCTGGAAGCAGGGCTGGTCACCTCCATTTCAGAAATAGAAGGCTCAGCTTCCAGGGTGACAGTGAGGACTGAATCCAGGGCTGTTGGCCTCCAGAGCCTATCCACCCCTACTGTTTCCCAGAGCAGAGCCTGAGCCTTAGGGCTACTGACCACAGTGGTTACTACCCACCCCTTAAGAAGGTTCACTGTGCCAGGCACTGTGCCAAGTGGCTACTTAGAGCCCAAACCTCTCCCCAGCACTGGGTGGTCCATGCTATGTGTTACTCAGGTGAGGCACCGATGTCTAGGTGACAGTCTGTAGTTGCCATGGATCCAGACTCTGGCCCCAAGTCTCTGTCCTGTCCCATATGACTTCCAAAACACCCTCACTACAACCTTCTGATTCCCTTATGTCAGCTTTGCAGCACTGACATGTTCAGCCCAAACTGTGTCTTACCCAGAATCCCTACCCAGAGAACAGGGGAGCAGAGATGCTGGGGTAAGAGGGAGCAGAGACTCCTTACAAAGCACACTATCGAACCGCACCACACCTATAGAGGGGAATCCTTGATTCCCCTGCCATCTGAAGCCAGCTGGTGCTGCCTCTTACAGCTGTGGCCCAGCTCAGCACATTCTGCTCCATAATGCTTGCCAGCAAGACCAGGGCTCAGTAACCAGCCTTCCATCTTCAGGAATAAGGTGCCTTGCAGAGCTAGCACCTGCGTTTACCAAGCTGCTGTGAAGCCTGCCCCTTGGGACCTCACTCTGCACCTGGCTCTAGTGACCACCATGTAACGCCCCTCGTTTGATCAAAACCCCCCAAAGTAACCAGGAGAGGATTTTTGACCTCCACTTTTCTAATAGGGAAATGGAAGTTGAAAGAAGTGATTTGCTCAAAGTAGCACAGCTAGTTTGTGGCCGGGCCAGATACAAACCAAGGAAGCCTAGTTTGAGATCTCCTTTGCAAAGCCATGACTACACACAATACAACAAGATTCCTAGAATTTGAATAAATGGCCTGAACACTGAACATCACATGACTCAGGAGGTTTAAGCATCTCTCACAGCCTCCTAGGCACCATTAGGGACCTCTGTCATCTTCAGAGTGGCTCTTGGCTTGAGAGCTGTGCTAACCAACACAGAGCACAGCATCCACTAGCCAACTTAGCTACTCAACCTTCACTCAAATGAAAATTCATTTCACCTGTGGCACTAGCCGGATTTCAAGCTCTAAGTAGTCACATGTGGCTAGCGGCTAATATGATAGATGACAATGAGGGAGAACAGTTTTACTACAGTGTCAAGTTCTTTTGGATGGAGCTTGTGTCAGAAATTAGTTTTAGATCTGGGGTGTGGCTCAGCAATGGACAGCACACTGGAGCACCTGAGTTTCATCCCCAGCATCATACAAGAAGGAAAGAAAATTTCAAAGAATAAAAGGAGATGAGGTTTATACCAATTACAAGTTTCTTTCGAGACTTAATCTCTGCTGTCACAATTGTCTACACACTACCATAAAAAAAATGGTTTTTTTCCTTGGGGCTGGGGAGATGGCTCACTTCCTAAAGTGTGTGTGACACACACAAGGCTGCCATCAATATTTGATCAAAGTACCCAGAGGCACTGGAGCTACTTGAGGCTGCCCAATGTCTCATTTCATCCAAGCCACAGGGGCAGTGCTACAAATGTGCATGCCAGGGCACCCCATCCCTCAACGTACCTAGGTGGCACCGGATGCGGATATTGGTGGGTCCATAGTGCTCCGTTATCACAGTCCCAGGGCTCAGTACGGAAATACACGCGTTTCCAAAAACATTGTTCCCAATACAGGTCCGAAGGCTGCCGAGCAAGCGGTACGTCCGTGGGCACTTCCTGCAGTTCCTGGGGACACAAACGCCCTGGTTGACAAAGTAAAAGGTGAACCACTCCCCGCTGGGCGTACTGTTCACTTTCCAGCCCTGTGGAAGGCTGCAATTCGAGAACGCCTTGTACAGTGTCTCAAACTCGCAGAGGATGGTCTGGAAGTTCCGCTCCAGCAGCTCCACGTCATGCCTTTGGGCATCTCGGGAGAAGTAGGGTGTGGTGGGCAGGTCAGGCAGGAAGAAGATCTCGGGCTTCTGGATGGAGGGCCGGCTGCTGAGGTAGCGGCCCTGCTCCCGGATGCCCTTGTGGATGCGGCCCATGCCCGACCACGAGTATCGCTTGGCGTACTCCTGCAGGTTGTGGTAGAGTTTCTGGTTGAGACCGTCCTGATGTGTGCAACGCACACACTCGGGGGACTGGCAGTACACAGACCCATTCTGCAGCCCGTTGGCATCCACACCCTGCAGGAGGGAGTTGACAGACACATAGGGCCGGGGCTGCTCTCGGCCCACATGGTAACAGTACCACACGAACAGAACCAGGAGGCAGGCCACGGTGACCACAGCGGTGCTGTCGCAGTCCCGCACAGACTGGATGCCGGTGCCGATGCAGTCCCTTAGCCCATCTAGAGACCAGCTCCAGGCCACCAGCCACTCCAGCGACATCTTGAGGGACTTGATACTCAGGTGTGAAGCTGGCTAAGATGATCAGTCCTCTGGGGGCATGACATGCAGGTTAGCAGGAGGTAGAAGGAGTGGCTGGGACAGGTGGAGGCACAGTTGACACTGTTCCTCAGTTCCTGCAAAGGGCTCCATGGGTGAGCCAGGCTGGCCCACCTTGCCACTCCCAGCAAAAGTCACAGCAGTGGGGTGGAGGGCGCTGACTTCTGTCCCACTAGTCTGAGTTGGTGACTGCAAAAGGGCATTTCAGGAAGTCCTAACCTGAAATGAAGACGAGAAAACAGCAGTGTAAAAGTTATGTCTAGAAAAGTACTCAAGAACAACAATGGAGTCTCAGTAACCATGCCAGGCCCTTGTTGGGAGAGATGCACTTCACAACCTTTCATATCCTCCTCCACCACGCTGCCACCATCCATTTTCCCAAAAGGCTGGTTGTGTTCCGGCTGAATCAAGTATAGCTTGGTAACTCCAGCAAGCCCATCTACTCTGTGTTATCTACAGGAGACACTATTTATCTCTGTTGTGCAACTGAGAAAACTGAGGCCCAGAGAGGCCATCTAACTCACCCAAGTTACACAGCCTCACCTGCCTTCAAAGGCTGTGTTCAGCCACTTTGCTACGCTAGTCTACTGGCCTGCTCTCCCTCACGGCTGCACCTTTTATTGAGAAGGAACATGAATTCAGCCACATATAAAAACAGTCTCTAACCGCACTTCTTCATTCTCTTGCCTCTTTCACTTCATCTGGCCGGCCCTTGGTCAAAAGTCAGGTTGAAATTGCCTTGGGAAAGAAAGTGGGTGCCCTGGGGTGACATTGGTGGCAGACCCACGGCCCTTTCTGCCTCTTAGCTCAGAGAGACGACCTAGTGGGTGACAAGAGTCACAGAAGACCCTCCATGTCCCTGACTCAGTTTCACACATCTGACAGTAGAGACATGGCTCTACCAGTCATCCTGCTGGGGTGTGGGAAGCCTAGCACCCCGATTACCACCAAAAACCATGTTCCAAGCCCAACTGCACTTCCCAAGTCTCTGGAACCCAGCCGTGTCTGCCCCCCACCCCCGGCTTTTCTGAAATTCTGTTCACCTCACTTTTGGGAAGGTGATGCCAACATCCAGTCTGTGTTCTCCCAAGTCTATATATCCTACCACTGGAGGAGTGTGACTGGGAGCACTCCCTCTGTACTCTTCCCTGTGCTGTCTCAGGGGGTGGGAGGACAACTGAACCAGGAACAAAGCTGTACCTTGCCCTTCCCTGTGGACTAACCTGGCCTGGAAGTTTCTGCAGCCCAGTAGGAAGACTGCGCACCCAGAGTGGAGATGGGCTGGACCATGTGTGAATGCCTGCATTTGCAGGGCACGCCTCCTCTCTAAACCTCAGTTTCTTCATTCATCAAATGGGATTCAGACTCATCTTACTGGCTGGAGACATTGTCAGTGAGCCCTTGATGCGCAGTAGAGTCGCTACATAGGGGGCCAGCACCATCCCATGATCAGCCAGCAAACCAGATGTGGCCTTGGAAGGAAGGTGACCCAAGGCACCCATCCATGCAAAGAGTAAATGCTGAATGCTCTTGAACCACCTGTCTTGGGTTGATTTCCACCCTTAGACTTACTGGGAGAAAGGGAAGCCTTAGGCGCTCGCTAACCACCAGGCATCGGGTGGCGTCATCCCAGTGACAGCTGCATAAGGAATCACTTGACTACAATGTTTAGAAAGTCAAAAACACACATACTGAATATTCATGGGGACTTTTATGTTTCTAGGAAAAATACAAGTCTGGGGAGGTTAGAAGCCATGGTTTCTTCTCCAGCTTTCAAGTTCCCAACTTCTCTGATGCAGAAGGCTCCCCTAGATGTTAAGGAATTCACCCCCCTCTTCCTCTCTGTTATGTCATGAGCCCACAGCTGTTTCCCCTTTAGGAAGAGGAAAGAAAATCCCCAGGAAAGGTGTCTTCTTTGCACACCACCTTCCAGAAGGCCCCAGGATTCCTGAAATTCCGTGTGAAACTCTCACCCTCTTTCAGGAACTGTTTTCCCACCACTGAGCTAAACCGCAAATTGGAACTCTAAAACTCTGCCTCTCCAGGGCCAAATTTTTCCTCACATGTTGTAGAGTGAGGTGGTGATTGATAACCAGTCCCCTGCCTGTGAAGCTGAGTTCCCATGGGCTCTGCTGATCACTCAAGTTGATGTCAATCAAAATGCAGACGCAGAAAACTGGGTAGATGCAGAGGGAAATGTTCAGCTGGCACCTAGCTTTCCCCTCCTCCTCTTAGCAGCTACTTTGTGGACAAAGCAACCAGGAACCCTCCCCAAGGCTGGAAGATGAACACAAGCAAAGAAAGATCCTAACCTCTTCACAAGGTCGAAGCCAGTACTGTGAGCGGAGGCTGGGACTTGCCAGTCACTTAGACCCAAGAGGCTAGTGGCCTCTACACCAAGGGAGGAATTTACAAGACTACAGCTGCTATGTGACAAGAAAAAAAAACCATGGTGCGGGGAGAGTGATTGATTTATTAAGCACTGCTTCATATGGTTAACCCTTCAGACCTCCCAAACCCCAGGGGGGAGAGGACGGCTGCCCGCCTAACACCACCCCATGTCAGGGAACACAGGAACTTGTAGCTCCATTCACACATCTGTTTCTTTCCTTCCCTTTCCCTTTCTTTTCCTTTCTATCCCCATCAGGGATGGGGACATCTCACAGCTCTGCACCTTAGTGGCAGGAAACTTCATATCTTAAAGGTCAGCAGGCTCTGGGGAATAAGGTTTAAATTCAAGTCCAATCAAAGACAACTTCTGACAGGAGGAATGCCTGGGGAGACAGTCACCATCTGACCTAGTTAACCCAGCTCAATGAAGAGCCCAGGAGGCTGCCTGGAACTAAAGAGCTGGTGTCACCCTGGGGTGAAGCCAGGGCACCCTACAAGCCCCCCAAGGGGCAGCTCAGCAGGAGGGGGGTGGAGGTGGGGGATGGGGTGGGGAAAAGCTTATGATGCTTCTGACCCTCTTCACTAGGGAGTCAGAGAGTCGTCCCGACACAAACCCACCCCCTGGGGACCTTCCCTCTTCACTGTCTCCCACCGTGTCCTCAGTACCCTACAGACCCTAGGAAGCCTGAGAGAGGGCAGAAAGATGGGTTAGGAGGTGAATACCAGAAGTCAGAAGATGAAACAGTGAGAAGATGAGGGCTGCCAGGAAAAGTGGGCGACCAACTAAAGATGAGGGAAGGAGGCCGAGGACAACTCATGGGACAGGGGAGGTGGGTCAAAGTGGGTGATGCTGAGATGGAAACGGGGTTCGGGGAGGAGGTGATGGGGGAGGGGACTACGATGGGGCAGGGAGTAGGGGGTGGAGGAGGAGGAGGAGGAGGAGGAGGAGGAGGAGGAAGGTGGTGCCTGTGCGGCCGCGGTCCAGCCCAGGATCCAGCCCAGACAGCGCTCAGCACACAGCCGGGATTCAGCGACCGGCCCGGGATGCAGGCACCAGCGTCCAGAGCATCCGCCTGAGCATCCTCCTGAGCATCTTCCAGAGCATCCTCCTCCGCAGCTCCGCAGCCCAGGCGACGCCTCTTACCTGCGCGCGGGCGGCTGCGGGGACCCGGGAGACACCACAGCCGAGGGAGCGGGGACGCCCCCTGCCCGCGCCAGGAGCCACCGCCCGGCCCACGAGGGAGCCCAGCGGAGCCGTGTCCTCGCCGGGGCCACGCCGCGTTGCGCTCCGCGAGGCGGTGAGGACCACAACTCCCAGAATGCCACGCGCGCCAGCCGGCGGGGAGGGGGCGGCGGGGCGGGACCCCTGGCGCGTGCACGTACAGCGCGTGCCCGTGGGGACTCCGGGGGTCCTGGTCTGCTCCCGCGCCCGGGTGCGCGCATCAGGTCCTGGGTCTGTGTGGGTTCCGGCGCTCTAGGTATCCTCTTGATCCTCCCTCCAGCATCTCTCGGTCCTCCTTCCCTCATCTCCTTCTCTTGGTCCCTCTGGGATCTTCTCTCCATCCTCCCTCCCTCATCTCCTTCTCTCGGTTCCTCCCGCATCTTCTCTTTGTCCTCCCTCCAGCATTTCTTCTAGGTCCCTCGCGCACTTTCCCCTCCCCTTCCCCTCGACCCTCTTGCCTGTGATGGATTCCGCACACACTCCTGAGCCCCATGGGCACGTGGAATGAAATCGCAGATGGAACGGCGTGCGCGGGCTCCCGGAAGACCATCCGGTCCTTGCAAATGGTGGTCCTGCAGCCGGGTGCCTGGCCAGGCTGGGCTCTGAGCTGTTGCAGACTTGGCGCCTGCCCACAGGGAGGCCCAGTCTAGCCAGCAGCAGACCGGTTCTGCCTGGCGTCACAGAGTGGCGCGGAGGGAAAGTTCAGATCAGCATCTGTGCTGTGAGATGGGGTGGGGGGACCGCTCAGAGCTGGATGGCTGAGCTGGGCCTGCGGGAGCCTGCTGAGCTGGGAGCGCCTGTGAAGTGTGGGCTCCAGGGGAACAATGCATGGAGGGCTCTGGAGCGTGGAGTGGGATGGCCATCCCACAACCCATCTGTCCCTGTCCTCGAACCTACTGCTTCTAGTCCCAGCATGCATTTCTTGTGGCCCAGGATCCTCATTTTCGCCCAGGATCCACCTCTGAAGTCTGTCCCAAGACCACCTGGGCCTTCACCTAAGAGCTAGCCTCTACTGTAGTGGCAGAGAGCCCAGCTCCTCCCTCACCCAGGGCCCACTTCCTTCTTGTCCCAGAAGCCATCGCTTCCAGCCTTAGAATCCCCTCTATCATGTCCTAGGACCTACATCCCTCATCTTCTGGATGGCATCTCATCACTTAACCCTTCTTCACAACTCTGGAGTTGGGAGAACATTTTTTCCTTTTTTGTTTGACTAAAACAACACAAATGACCTTCCTTGGTGTATTAGTTTCTTTCACCTGACAGAAACCACTGAGGAAGGAAAGGCTTATTTGGGCTCCGGGTTTCAGAGGGTTCCAGTCCCTCACCACAGAAAAAGCATGGGTGAGTTTATGGACACAGAAGTGTGTGACAGAGGCCCCTCCTATCACAGGCTGCTAGGATGTGGAGTGAGGCAGAAACCTGGGGATGTCTAACCTTAAAAGGCTCACCCCTAGTAACCTACTTCCTGAAGCCAGACCCCTGCCCCACCCCACCAGAAGATCCTAAACCTCCCAAAATAGTGTCAGAGGCTGGGGAACAGGAAGATGTGAGGGCATTTCAGATTGAAACTCACAATGGGGAAACTAACATCCCCCCACTCCTGTGCGCCAAGCGTGGGTGCTGAACAAAGGCCTGGGGTTCCAGACAGCAGAAGGGGAGGTCACTCCTTCCTGGGTAGGTTGGAGAAGGAACTAGCTTGAGTCCCACTTCACATTTAGAAAGTTGCCCAAATTTAGCCTTTTCAAGGTACTTATGCATTTAGTTCCCGCATCACCATGGCAGACAGACTGGAAAAAGAAAGCTATTTTTCATAGTCATACATGTGTGTTCCATTCTGAGACCACACCATCTGTAGTACATTATGAATTAATATTGTCTATGAATCCTGTCATTATCTGTGACCAGTGCGGTTTGTTTTTTCAGTGGATAGATTATAGATGCAGTTTTGTTAACCTTTCTGGCCATTTCATTTTCTTAATTTGCTGTGAGACTCAGAAAATGACCTCTGTCAAGCCCCAGTGACCTTTGGAGGTGAGTTCTCCCAGAAAGGGGTGTCCAGGCCTTACAGAGGGGCCACTGGAAGAGTACTGCAGACACATGACAGTTCTGCTAATGGAAGGGTGAGACTTGCACCAAGTGCATCTAAATTGCCTGCCTTCAGCTTGGCTGTCACTGTGCCCTCCGCCTCCCTGTCTTGTGGAGAACAGTCATTGCAGCCCACTCTAGACTGCACAGCCTGTCATTACACCACCAGAGGCACTTGAGGGCCACCTGACTCCCTCTCCTGCAGATGGAGAACCTTGCTTGAGAACACACCTGGCTCAGCCAAGGTCATAGAAAGTCAGCAAAGAATGTGAACTGAAGGACTGGTGTGGCCACTTTGGAGAAAGACTCGGAGTATCTGTTAAAATAACAAATGTGGATATACGTTAAGAGCCAACGGTTTAGCACGGTGGTGGCACAAGCCTGTAATCCCCGTACTTGGGAGGCTGAGGTAGGAGGCTGGAGAGCTCCAGGCCAGCCTGGGCTATAGAGCAAGTCCCTGTCTCAAGAAAAAATAACATCAACACAAAAGAAAACAAAAGACTGATAACCTCACCACTAAGTAGCTGTGTATTCGCAGGAAGTAATCCAGTAACCTGTCAGAAAGGGGAGGCTGGAGGCATGGGTAAAGGCAAAGGTTAGCTTCTAAACACATTGTACAGCAAAGAAAATAGAGTTACAGTGTGGGGTCATCACCTGCTTAATGTGTCCTTGTGGGTTTTTGTGCATATATCCCTGTGAAAGCACTAGAGAAGCATGTGGATGTTCTTAAAATACCTCATGTTCATACATGCAGAGGATAGCCTCAGAGAAAGCATTCCCAGTTCTCAGGATCTGTAACTTCCTGGGAAGCTAAGGAAGAAAAAGAATTGGGGAGTTCCTGTGTGCTCTGTAACATGTACTTAAACATTTTAAGAGTCTTGCTATGTAGCCCAGGCTATAACTTGGGTTGTCAGGCTTGGTGGCAGGCAGGCTTACCCACTGAGCCGTCTCACTGGTCCTATTTCTTAAAATACCCTGTGATCCTCTTAAATATGCAGAAAAGGATTTTGACAAAATTCAACACCTTTTCATCATTAACAACTCTGAGCCAACCAGGAATGAAAGAGAATTATAACAGAAATCACGAGCGTTCCTGACAGTGCAGTGAGAGTAGCACTTCATGAAACTTGATTCATTTGTGTGTATGTGTGTGTTACTCTGAGTCCCACCTAAGGTACTTTTCTAATAGTGCCTGAAATCAGACAACGTTAAAACACTTTGCCCTGGGTAAGCTTTCAAAGTAGGATATATGTTCAAGAATGTTCCTTGCAATTTTTTTTTCGATGAAAAAATGGCTGTGATGGCCATTCAACGAGAGGAAAATCCACACATAAATTCATAGAGAAAAGAATATAAACATGGCACAATCCAGAGACACATGCATCAAGAGAGATCTTCAAAATACAACGTTGAAGCTGGGCACGGTAGCTCATGCCTGTAATCCCAGTACTTCGGGGGCTGAGGCAGGGGCATCACCACAAGTCTGAGACAGCCTGGGATTCGTAGTGAGACCCTGTCTCAGAAAAATACAAAGTTGAGTTAGAAGAGTAAAGTCTGCATTGGTCTCTGCCCTATGAGGCTGATCAATATGAGTTCATGTGAGTTACTTTCAAGGAATAGGGAAGTAGTGAGGTACCAAACTTGGGAAAGACATATGTAGATATATCACAATATTCTATAATAATCACAGTATTTGTGATATTTTATTCCTTTTAACCAAAGAGAAGGCTGGGGAGGTGGCTCAGTGGGTGACAGTACTTGGTTCATAAGCACAATCCCAGTCCAGATCCCCAGAACCCACATAAAAAGCTGGGTATGCTTAGTTGGTGGGGGGTGCGGGAGGATCACTGGTGTTCTCTGGCTCCCAGCCCAGCTACAGGCTCAGGGAGAAAGTCTGTTTCAAGGAAAGGATGCAGGGAGTGATAGAACAGGACATATAGCATCCTCCTCTGACCTTTGAGCTTGTGCATGAGTTTAGGCACTTGTATATACTTGTGCACACACCACACCCACACCCACCACACACATGCACATATATATACATATACACATACACTACACACATACACACACCACACATTCCACACATGCCTCACATATATATACATATATAATATACACACACATCTCACACATACACCACACATATACCACATACACATATATACACACAATACACACATATACATACACAGATACATCACACACAGACACAGACACATCATACACATTTTTAAAAATACCAAGCAAATGTTAAGTTTTGATAAAGTTGTGTGATGATACTTAAATAATTGTCCTACTTTTCTCTGAATGGTTAAAATCTTACAAATTATAAAGTGCCAGTGACTATGGAATATTGGTTTTTGAAAGTTTGGGTTGCAAGTTTCTAACACAATGTGAGTGATTTGAAGGACAAGAGCAGCCATTTCAGTGAGTTTCAACTTGGGTTGCTGGGGTCCCCTTTGGGCTCTTGGCACCTCCCTCTGAACTGATGGAAAGTCAACAGTCAGCTTGATTGGATTTGGACTCACCCAAGAGATGCCTCTGTTATGTCCGTGAGTGCGTTTTCTGAGATGTTTGAGGAGGGATGACCTACCCTGACTGTGCAGCACCATCCCCTGGACTGGGGTTCTGGACTGAGTGAAAAGAGAACAGGCAGAGGGTATGTTGAGCACTAGCATTCACCTATCTCAGTTTCCTGACTGCAGGTACCATGTGACCAGTGTTCCTGTACCGTGACAGATTGTATGCCAGAACTTCTCCTCCTTTAAGTTGCTTCTTTTCAGGTATTTGGTCACAGAAATGAGAAAGGTAATACAGGGGTGAAAAGGTCCTAGGACTAAATTAATTAACCACTGCCCTCGGATGCCCCTGATCAATTGGTGGAGGTTCTACTCTGGAAACCATCAAGATTAGGCCAGGCCTGACATCAGCCTGGCCTAATTTCCATCTCTCCCGGT